TCCCGCCTACCATATATATATATATATATATATATATATATATATATATTAGAAAAAGTTTTATATAAGGTTGACAACCTTTAAATAGTAGATTTACATATGCACGTCAAAAATCCATCGAAAAAGGTTGCTTTGATGTTGAAAAACCTTCTAATTGATCATCTCGATATCGAGATATAAGAATATGAAAACAAATAAGCATTTGAGTGCAAAAAATAGTGCAGTTTGCAACACATTATCTAGACCATCCATTTTCAAGATTTTCATACGTTTATAGATCTACTTGATTTTAACTACTTTTGGAATTCAAAATTTTATAATTAAATATGAGGACGCGAGTCATGAAACCAGTATGGGCACTGGTCTCATCCAAACCTATTGGTTCATCGGTCAAACTGGTCTGAAAAATATAAATAACAAAATATAGAAAATATAGAAGCGGGTCAAAACTAGTCCGAGTTGGTCTGAAGCCAGCCGGTTTACTGATTTAGAGATCAGAACAGACCAGTTTCAGGCCGATACCAGTCCAACCCGCCAACCAGCAAGTCAAGTTTGGTCAAACAAAAAAAAGTGTTTACGAACTTGCCTCAGGCCACATACTCCGCCCTGGACTGATGCATGTTACTCAGGCCAGTCCAAGTGGACTCGCCATCCTACAAAAAATTTAAAAAAAAAAAAGAAAAGAAAAAGAAAAGAAGAAAGAAATAAGAAATACGAACAATTAAATGAAGGCAGTAAAAATAAAATAAAACCAAAACCAACCTTAAAAATTCAAAATAAGCTTTTAAACTGTACAAAAATAGATTTTAGAGAAAAAAGATTCATAGTTGGGGACATTGAAAAAAAGATTTATACAACATTCCCATTTTTTTTTACAATTTTTTGAGATTCTTATTTATTTATTTATTTACATAACCCAAGTTGTCCCTCCAACTCAGGGCAACTCGGGTAACATGGGCAAATGATCATCACATAATAACCTATCAACCATCAAGAAAGCAAAAAAAGCAAGGAAAATAACGAACTTTCTCACAGTATTAAAAAGGAACAAAAACATACATGCCCCATTTCCCCAACCCATAGCCAAAAAAGCATGGAAAATGAAAAATAAATTTGATCAAAGTTTATAAAAGGGATAGAAACACAAAAAAGGATGCCCCATTTCCCCAACCCAACACACAACCAATCACTCACATTAGAGACTTTCACAGATGTGCGTACGTTTCTGGGCGCCAATTCCTCTATGTCCTTGCTCTCCTTCAATTCTTGAGAACGGGCAGCGAGAGGGCTTGGAGAGATCTCCGGGGGAGGCCCAAATATATCATGGCCACTCAGTTCTTTCGTCTTAGCATCTGAAAGCTGCTTCTTTATCTTCATCTCTGATTCACTCTCAAGGTTCCCACTAAGCTCCCTCTGCTTTGCAACCTCTGGTATGGAGGTTGGTTTCTTGGGAGATACGCTCTCCTCAGTGCTGAATGAGATCTGGCTGATTGCACCAGCAGCTTGCTGCCCACAAAAGAAAAGAAAAAACAAAAGCAAAAAAAGAAAAGAAGATGGCCTTAGTACTAGGTCCCTGATAGATCATTTATACCCTCTCCCTCTCTCTCTCTCTCTCTGACGTAATAAGTGGGGAATAGAGAACGGTTGAAGATGAAAAGTGTCAGCTATATCTATGCCAAGTGAAGAAATATTCCTAGAGATGACAGCTATAAGAAAATACACAGCCAAAGTACCGTTTGGAAGGACCATTTATTAACCATTTACATTTACCCCCTTGGCCATCTAGTAATGCAGAAGGAAACAGCTTGGTCCACTCTCTGCCAAAGCACACAACTCTATGAAAAGAATTCTTTTTATTTCCAAATAAATACATTCTTAACCCAAGCGGGGCCAAATCTGTACATTTTAATTACTCTAGGGCTCTCTCTCTCTATAAAAATACACAGCATCAAAGTTCAAAATTGCAGACTCCACTGCACTGACCGAAAAACCCCAGCATCCTAAAGATATTCCGATTTTAGCAAGATCCAGAACAGCCATCTTATCTTGAAAACAAAAAGCTACAGAACCTTCATATGATTCTTGAATTATTTATCATAAAGGTATACAATATCAACACTAACTGCAAGAGAGAAGACGTTTGCTTCCCACTAGGCCCTTGGGCAGTACTAAGAAAAACAAAGGCAAGTACAAAGGTAAATGTATTATTTCCTTTTCAGGATTCCATGAAGCACTTAGAAAGATAAATATATGCATATCAGATATGCAAAAAACACAGGAAGACAATAATTCTGAGCAGATACAATAGTAATGACTTACAAAGTTACCTGGTAAATCCTAAGACCTGTTTTATTAGCAGAGGCAGCACTGCCAGATTCTAAATCACCATTCTCACCATCACCAGCAAAAATTCCACTACCAGTCATCTCTCTTAGCTTAAAACCTGAACATGGTTTCCTGGAAAGCATATAACAGACTTGTTATTGCAAACAGGAGACGAAATCCATCTACAACATATAACACGTTATCAGATAGGCATTGGTGGAGGTTCCCCAACCATCTTTCTAGAATACAAGAAAAATCTATGAAAAGATTTTATCATGAATTTCAGAAAGATTTTACCCTTGGTTTAACCATTGATGATAGTTCAACACAGTTGAGCAAATCAATTCTATACCTCAAGAAGTTTTAAGACTATGCCCAATATCAATCAGTAAGTTCATTTTGAGGACTCCAATGGAAATAGTAATGAGACAGCATTTGATGTTTCTGTGCAAGTGACTCTCACACCATAAGTCAACCAGTTGACCAGGATAACTCAGGGTGGCATATTTAGACAATTGTAATGCATGGTAGGAAGAAAAAATTCTTAATGATGACATTTCATATTACCAGGGTTGAGTGAGCCAACCAGGTCAACAATTTTAGACGTTGATGGGTGAATCAAGGAAAAAAAAATAGTAACTCAAGTTTAAGGACCCATATGGTCATTGAAAGCCCCAAACACCCACACTTCCACAAAGACCTCGCTACCTTTGGCATATGGGCAAATTTTTAATCAGTAATAGTACAATTCGTTTTTTGGGGTGAATAATAATAGTAGAAATTCATAACAAGTATATGTACATTGTGCAATATGGGGAGGGAATGATGTCATGAAACGACTTTTTACTTTTATTCCATGAATCGAGTTCATAGCAATATAATGAAGCCGCATATACCAATATAATCCCAGGAGCATTTTTTTAACCCCAAATTTTAAGCATTAGCTCTTTTTCATCCAGATGAACAACATCAAAAAAACAAAATTTGGGAGTCTTGGGTTTTTTTTTTTTTTTGAATCCAAACATTGTAGATGGCCTTATCATCATCAAAAAAATACTTTTAAATATATATATATATATATATATTGAATTCTTAAAAGGCTAAATCTATATGTCACCAAATGGATGGCCAGCATTCATTGTTAGAGCAGGTCCCATTTGGACCTTTACTGGGTGCAACTTCAATTTATTTTTATTTTTTTTCCTTTATGAGAAATATCATTAGGATAAATAAAGTGTATGTCCTTAATGTGGGCTCATACAATTGCCCCTAACATAGCTTTTTGAAGCGGTGAGATCATCATATTACTATAATGCTTTTTTATGAAATCACTCACCTACAGACAGTCTACGTCGAATGCTTAGATTCAATCTCACAAATTTGGAGGGTCGAAGAGTACGCATACGGTTCCATTTTTAGAAATCATTTGAACCATAAATTTTAGGGAGTGGTGCACCTAACCGAGGTGGTCCAAAAAATATAAAATAAAATTATATGACACGCTAATAATGTCCAAAATGCCCCTGCCAATGCTAACTCTCAGATGGTTCAATCTGGGCAATCTGGTTCACAAAATCTTCATAGAGAAAGAGAGGAGGGGAGAGAGAAAAAGAGAACAGGGGTGGGGGTGGAGCGGAGAGAGAGAGAGAGAGAGAGAGAGAATACAAAATACAGCAAGTTATGTTTATATTATCGTAAGATGCCTTTCAATGTTACAAACAGACACATAAAACTACCATGGCATACATTACAATGAATTTGTCATGTTATACTCAAGGAGTAAAAATGTACAACTAACAAAGATATAGATAATGAGAGAGGGAGCTAAGAAAAATGAGCCGAGAAAAGAAGGAAAACAAGAAAACAAAAAATGATTTATGGAACTGAGGATCAGAACTGTTAAGGCCTATTGCAGAGAGTTGCCAAGGAGCAGACTCTCTTTTCGATTGGGAGGTTCTGATGAACATAGTTAAAAGGAAATTTCCCACGATTTAACTTTAAATTTTGAAAAATTCAAGAGTCAATTCTAATTTTTCAGGACTGAGTTCCAATTCAAGATCCAAATAGAAAGTCCTAAAACATTGATAATGACTACTCACGTGATTGTTGATAGGATATAACTGAACCATGAAAATCTAGAACTCTGAAGAACAGTTGTTCCAGTTATGCATGCATTGTAACTAGCATAAAAAAGGATTAAAAGGAAACAATGCATAAGAATAGGGTTACTAGCCAGTGCTCAGAAAAACATAAGAGAAAAAGAAAAAGTAAATGCCATTTTGGAAACTAGAAGTAAATTCGAAAAATGGGTAAATTAATCTTAGGGATGAAATTTCTAATAAGGCCTGGGCCTTATGGAAAACAAAGAAGTAGAGTCACTTCAAAACCTCACTGCAAAATGCAGTTCCGACATGCAAACACCATGATGGCTCCAAAATCTATTTCCAACTCCTATTATGAATTTGATGCTCCAAAATGAACACAGATCGTGTGGACCCGTAGACACTAGAAAATGGACGGTCTAGATAATGCCTTACAAGAGACATTATTTTTAGGGCTCGAAATCCTTGTTTTTTATCACTCACATAACAATGAAGGTCAAGGACTGAAGATGATTTATTTGAGTGTTTCCAATGAGATTTGAGGCATAGCATTACTTTTTTTCAGAAGGCCTAAACCTTATTTTAATTTTTTTTCTTAATTTTAATTTACCTCAATACATACATATATACTACAAAGTACCTTTCAAAAATAAACATTAATATTTAAATCAAACAGTGAATAGGAAGTACAATTTTATGAATTGAGGTTAAATATTATCTCAAGAAATACAAACATTGCATTGGTCAGGTGCTAGGTTTCACGAGCCTATTCAAGGGGTTAAGGCACATTTTTAGTCAATATGGTATCTTGGAGTTTTTACATGGTACACAGGACTTGAAAGACTTTCTAAGGTGTCATAAGGATGCCTAATTGTACAAAGTACATATTTGATGCCTTGGTAAAAACTAAATAAGTAAATTGCATACATATTCAACACATTTCAAGGCTCATAACTAGAAATCATCAATCAATCAACTTTACTGGTAGCCTCAAGCAACGACGCTGAGGCATTCTTGGGGATAAAATGATTAGTTACAGGAAAGTACGCCAGCAAGAGGTTCTAGAACCATGGATTAGACTACAGTCTTGCACGTTGAGGATTAATCTGCCTATTGTGCCACACCTGGGCATATAAATAATTATGCATGATGTATAACAATATTTAGCCCACTTGCACAAATATGAACGAGCTTAATCTATTTCCATTTTTTGATGACCAACTTGTACATAATTATAGGTTGAGAGTTTCATTATTCACTCAATGAGTATTATTCTTTCCAAAGTTATTGCTTTCAATATTAATGTGATGACACCAAAGACCAAAGGTGTTTTTTTGTCAATGAGGAGATCATATTGCAATGAGTGGCTGTTAACAAGATTTGTGTGGAATTGATATCCAATACAATGCATTTCATGAGTGGAGGAAACAAAAACTACGCAAATTACAAATTCATCCATCATCACTTCTAGTGTTAAGTCCTAGCCCATGTACAAGGATCTCAACCAACATTACCCCTAGTTTTAGATGTCATTTATTGATCTCCAATTTTCAAGCTATCTAAGGTCTCTATAACAATGCATGATGTTTATACATAGATTAATCCATATAAATTTGTAAGGGCAACTCAAGTTATTAATGCTAGGCTACTTAGACATAAGCCTTAAGGACCAGATCCTTCATTCAACGAAAACTATTTCCCAAAGTAACCTCTGTTGTGTGTCATGTTATCATTATTGGCTTTCTGTTTATGTTATGAATTGATGGCTTATTGAATACAATGCTGTGAGCTAGTGGTATTTTGGCAATCTCAAGGTTTCAAGACACTAGACATTATTCTGTAGCACAAACATGCCCGAACAGAAACAAAATCAATGGATGCAACAAGCTTCACATATGCACACACACACGCACGCACATGTGCATGCATGCACACACGCACACACAGAGAGACCAAAACAATAGTCACTGAGATCCACAGCACTTACATTGTCCCACTCAACTAACAAAGTGCAGCATGGAGACATTTCTCAAGAGAAGAAGATCAAGAAGATAAGCAATTGGTTCGAACAACATTCAAGTGGAGAAAAGAATTCAACACCACTAGCCTTCCCTTTCCATAAATTTCCACAATGGAAATTGTCCATGTTTCTCCAAAAAATTTACAATAGAGACTCAAATCCATTGTGCAAAGTTCCAATGCAATTTGCCTCACCTTTAAACAGTGTGTGCTGATGACTCATGAATCACTTCAGATGCCAATTGAGCATACTTAAAGTCAAAAAAAGGTAACAGCAGGCATCACGGTTCAGGGCCTGATTAGACCTACAAAGATGGATAATTGCTTTACCATCCCCTAAAAAATTGCCAACATGTGACAAGGTGAAATAACTTTTAAAGTACCTCAAATAGCTTTTTTGAATAAAAGCATCTCAAACTTACCATAAATTAAACAAGTACGATTATGTGTCATTTATCAAAGTAGAAGATGAAACCAACGAGACAGGGATCTAAATAATCAGAGATAAGTACAAAATGTTGCATGGGATTGTGATCATTACAAACAATATATGAATTCAATCAAGGATCAAGAGGAGCACCAGGTTAAAGCAATTCATAACTATAATGTCATGGAATTTGATGCCAAATAATGATAGATACAAATTATCAACAGGATATAAATGTTTATAAGCAAAAAGCTGAAGTCAACTATGTAGCAAGTGAGCAAGGAAATAAATAAAATAATAAAACTGCTTTACAATATATGATGATTTGACTGGAACAACAAACTTGAAAAAGATTAAGCAATATTAAATGAAAAAGGATGCATCACCTGCCTACCAAACCACATTACCCAAAAACAAGAGTGATCTAACATCAGAGGAAAGAAAATATTCCTTTTGAAAATCTATTAGGTACACAAGGAAAAAATTCATGCAATCGACAATTTGACACATTTAAACCCAAAGTTTGTAGCAAGTCCTAAATCAGAGACAATGAGGAGAAGAATGGAACCTCTGCTACAGAAGCAGAATATTACTAAAAAGCTTTAGATTAAGAGAACCCCAAATAATCGAAAAGAAACAACATAATTAGAAACACTGAGACGAAAACACCCTAATTGAATCTTATAAAAGTAGAAATACAAAAGAAACTGTAAAGAAAAAAGATCAAAAGGAATAAAGCATAGATTAAAATAAACATAACAGAAAACCAGTACATCTCAAAAATACAAAAAAATAAAAAAACAGACAGGCCACGGATCATGCAAAAAAAGAAACAAAAAACTACATCAACCATTACTACCAGAAGTGAAGCAAAATAAACCCCTTTAAGAAAAGGGCATTGCCCTGAAAAGGTCAAAAATAATAAAGCGAGCTACAAAAACCCTTTCAACATCAGATTCAGCAATAAATCTCACTAATTCACTATTTTTTTCCAGAAACAGGAGCTCTAGCCAGAACTAAAGGTGCATGAGTCAGATCTCACCTTTTCAACAAGCTCTCAGCCTCTTCAGGTGTCATTTGTCCACCAAAAAGCACAGAGCTGATTCCACCAGCGGGCTGTAAACATTCCGAAAAAACAAAAAAAAAAAAAAAAATCCCTCAATCCACATATTAGCTGATACATTGAACCAGAAATGTATAGATAAAGCAACTGCACTTATGAACACATGAATCATGAATGCATAAATCTCTAGAAAGAGATAGAAAATGGAGAAAAGTGGTGGCATGAGTTGATAATGTGAGCACCTGATGAGTACGGATCGTCGGGCGAGCTGATGAAGCGCCATCCATTGCAGAGGGATCTGGAGGTGGAGCTTCCATCCATGTCAAGAGATCTGCGGTAGATGTGTGTGGTTTCCTCACAGGGGTGCTCCTCTCCATTTCTTCTCGAACAACAAGCAACTCTCTCTCTCTCTCTCTCTAAAACCCCAATAGATTTCACCGCAAAATCTCACTCTCTCTCCTCTCTCTCTCTCACTAGGCTCTCACACTTTCTATTTCCTCCCCAGTCTCTCTCTCTAGACTGTATATGACCTTCGCTTTCTCCAAAGTACAACTTGTAAAAGCCCTCTCTCCAGAATCTCACCCAGAGCTCCCTCTCTCTCTCTAGGCGTACTTATATGCAAGACTCAAATTTAAACGGGCTCTTTCTCACTCTCTCTCTAAACAATATCTCACTACTCTCTCTCCCTCTCTCTCAACAATATCTCTCTGCTCTCTCTCTAAAGTCTAAACAATATCTCTCTTCTTTCTCTCTCTAGGCTGCCTCGCTCAGGGGACTTGGGGGTTTTAAAAAATTGACGTGGCCACAGGCCCGGAAACCACGAGAATTTGAATTTCCGTTCGGTGTTTCTCTTTTGGTTTTGAAATTGAGGCGACCGACAGCTGTCTGTTGCGCCGGGGTTTTCCCGGTTGCACTCCCGGGAAATCGGTTTGATTTTGACGGGTGGCTGCACCGGCAGCTGACTGGGAAAGTGAAAGTGGGGCCCGCTCTTTTCAGGAATGTCCAACTAGGCCGGATCTTTTGTATGAGTCGAAATTGCCCATACGAATTTTGCAAAAATGACGACTCTGACCCTGCATGGCCTCCACCGACAACAAATGTCCTATGATTTCAAATTGCACCCTTCTGAGACCCAACTGAGAGACGTTGGATCTTGGATATCTCAGCATCCATGCCACCTTATTTTTTAACATTTTAGAATTTTTATTAGTTGTAGTTTCTTTTAGGTCTAGGCTTTATGAAAACAAATCACGTTCAATTTTCGTCTTGAATAAAATCTTTACGATGACTCTAAACATGAATTACTATGAAATTGGAGCTCAAAAAATATTGTAGGTCATGAGGATTCTTGAGCACTTATTTTGAGGTCAAAGCCGGTCGGTCTAGATAATGTGTTACAATATAAATTATTTTTACGATTTAAATTCTTAATTTTTACAATTGTAAGGGCCAAGGGCTGAGATTATTGGTTTGAAGGTACATCAAAACTATAATTTTCGGTGAGCTTTAAGGTGAGATTTTACTTATTTTGATGTTGCTGGTGTTGGAACCTATCAAAATATTTTCCTTTCTCATTTACTATGGATTCTTTAGAAGTTTTCTAGCTTTATTATCTATATTATAGATTCTCATGAAATAATTTCGAATGTTTCCGTTCCAATTTCGATTGACCTTGGGTTTTGTTTTTGTTTTTGATCGGTTGACCTTGGATTTTGTTTGCAGTCGATATTTTCACCGAATCTAATTAAAACAGCATTTAAGACTCGGAATCGTCGTTTCAATTTTGCCAAAGGTAAAATTCATTGTAAAGCCAAATATTTGCTACTCCTACCGGAGAGTACTATTTAGTTATCTCCTCAAGTATAACACATGCTAGGAATGCTTTTTACATATCAAAATTTTGGGCTGTAATCTCTACAACCCATAAACTAATCTCAATAAAAAAAATTTCTAGAATACACTCTCTACGTACTAAAAAAGAAAAAGCTTCAAGATTGAATAGAGACGGTCCAATTTTTAAAGAGCTAGATCTAACTTTCACAAAACTAAAACTTCCAATTTTTGAACTACCAGATGATTAGTTAACTTGAGAGTAACTAAATAGCAAGCCAAAGGGTCAACAGGACAGGTTTTACTGCAACTACTCAAGACGCATTTGGATAGCATTCTTTTTCGATTGGGTATAGCTTTGATTATTCTTAGAGCCAGATAATTAGTTAACCATAGACATATTTTAGTTAATGTTTGTCTAGTAGATATACCACCTTATCACTGCAAACCCGAAGATTTTGTTACTACGAGGGAAAAGAAAAATCCAGAGCTCTGATTCAAAATCATATGAATTCATCCCCCAATGAGGAGTTGCAAAAACATTTGACTTTTTACTCATTGCAATATAAAAGATTAGTAAATCAAATAATAGATAGTAAATAGATCGGTTTGAAAATCAATGAATTGTTAGTCGTAGAATATTATTCCTGAGAGACTTAAACCCAAAATTAAGAAATAAGAAAGCTTCGGACAATTTTTCTACTTTCTTTTTTTGATGAAAAAAAAAGGGATCCATTTAAGGCTAAGGGGTCTGATCTAGATTTTTCTCCTATTCACCTGTAACATAAGACACAATTAGATCACTCATTCCTTATTCGCTCTTTCCCTCTATTTCCATTCTTTTCCATACCACAGTCAGGCCGCAGTAAAAGTAAGGAATGGAAATTTCTATATCTATAAAGGAAAGGTATTAGTTGTTGGAATAATGCTATCAATTGTCATTTGATACCCTTGCCATTGGTAATGTTTGTAAATTATGTGAAGGTACAGAAAGAGAAGAAAGGTGAACAAAAACCTCCATAGCAGTTCTAATGTTGCGCCTTGAACCACCTGGCCATCTCTCCTACGAAATCGTATAATTATGGCCCAGGAACCAAGTGAATCGCAAGTCACTCTTATAGTACGTGTCCGATCAATCTATTATTATTAGTATAATTAGAATATTCTAATTCTATTGATAAATTAGAATATTATAATTATTAGAAAATAAAAAATTTTGTCAATAAAAGTTCTTCCCTTCGAGGCTCAAGGAATAAAATCTTTTTTTTCACAATTTTTTCTTTTGAAAATATTCATCTAGCAGCTCAAAAATTCTAACGTGCCTTCTAGGTGTGAATTTTTTCAAAGGGTGAGGTTTGTATAAGGTGTTAACCTTATATTATAGAAGTAAGGTAACCATGCCAAAACTGTATTTTCAACACCGCAAAGCCTTGTAATGATATGAAAATCCATTGTTGCGCCCAATTATGAAATTTAAAGATTAAAAAATAGTGACAATCAAGCATATCTATATACACTTGAAAATGGACGGTCCAGATAATGTGTTAGAAGATAAACTATTGTTAAGTCTAGAATCCTTTTTTTTTATATCTATGAATCTTGAGGTCGAGATGATCGATTTAAGGGTTTTAGAAACAACCCTTTTTTTGTGGTTTTTTAGGTGTACCTTACTCATATAGTATAAGGTTGACACCTTATATTAACTTTTTCCTTCATCCAAATAAATGAATGAACATGCCTTCATGGACCGCGTACATTGTAGTGGGTCTACCTTTCCAGATCTAGATGGAGTTCAAAATTAAATCGTTACTAGCCTATCATTTCAATCATCATAATGTGAATATAACAAAAATAAATAAATTTTGAGCCTTAAGAATGTGCCCATCTTATGCGTTTTTTCCCCAATTTATATCAATTCTCAAAAGCTCTTGAATCTCCAAGTTCGTGGATGAGAGGTGAAAATTAATTTACAATGTGTGAACTTTATGATATTTGAAGAGAAAAGTTTAAATGAGGTCCTATTCAAACGTGGATTTAGGATCTTAAAAATGTCCTAGCTTGATTTGTGTTATAGATATATGATTTTTCAACTAAAAAAATATCCATCTTATAATATGCAAAAGATTAAAATGAACACTCATCAATAGTTTTACAACAAAATTTAAAACAATCAAATTTTTAAGTTTTTTTTTTTCATGATTGCAATAGTCGAGATTCAACCTATAAAAAATTTAAAAAATCTCGCTCTCAAATGAATTTTTGAAAGCGAGCGCATTTGAAATAGGTGCAGCCCCAAAACCTCATCTATATTTGAATTCATGTCCCTGAATAAGTTGGGAAAAGTTTATATAGAGCCGAGGCTCTAAACAATCGAATTAGAGCCTACCTCAAAAAATTTCACTATAAGATGTTGTTTTCGTGGCCAAATATCCTCAAATTGATCATCTCAACATCAAGATGCATGGCCATGAGAAAAAAAATCAATTTCAAGTTTTGAAAATAATGCATTTTGTAACACATTTTTGGACAGTCAATTTTCAAGATTTTCAAATTTTCATAGATCGGTCTATCTACACTATTTTTGAAGCTTTAAACTTTATAAATAAAGATGAAAATATATTTTAAAGCCATCACAAAGATTTCCACTATTGAAACCATATTTCTCGATACTATTAGAAGGTAGGCTCTAATTTGATTGTTTAGAGCCTAGGCTCTATACAAACCGCACCGAATAAGTTATCAAGGTGTGAAAGTTTATATAAAGTTGAGACCCTAAACAACAAAATTAAGAAAAGAAATATAGTGGCTCAAAACAATTGAATCAAGTGACATAAGCCATATTGGAAAAGAAAATTTTGCAAAATGCACATAAGAGATGAACAACATTTCACTAGTTTTTTATTTAATTTCAATATTTTGTTTGTTTGATGAAAACCATCGCCTTCATATTAACAGCTGGGAAACTCGAGTGTGAGAAATAAAAGGCAATGGTACGTCAGAAATAAAACAAAGAAGTAGGGGTAAACCCAACGATGGCAGGGCCGGGTCCATCTAACAAGGACGACTCAACAAAACCACCGTTACTTCTACGCAATAATAACGACAACTCCTCAATCTGAGAAAATGACCAAAATAATCAGCCAAAATATCCAAGGAGACCTTCTTTTGAAGGATTTTATAAATTAAAATCTTGGTCTGGAATTTCCATTTCTTTCAGCTAAGGTGGAGAGCAAAATTTCATCTGAATCCATAATTTAGAACATTTACTTGTGTGGGGAGAAAATGAACATCTTATCACTCCAAATCTGCCATACTTGGACTGCAAATTTCGCATATTAATGAATTGTCTTTTTTTAAAAAAATAAAATAAATTTACACGTTTCAAAATGCGCTAGATATGAAATCACTTATACAGACTGAGAATTAGATGTGATCAATTCCCCACATGAAATCCTATTTAATTTTTTAATATTTTTTATATGCTTTTAGATTACTAATTCAGACCGATTCGGTCCGGCAATCTTGCGATGTGTGGGGCTATCTGTAATATCCATAAGGCATGGACGATCCACCCCACAAAAACTTATTAGATAAGGGAGTAGTGTTGAGTAGTCGCGGTTCGGGCTGATGGACAGCAGAGAAGTGGGCCTAAGTGGCTTTAAGTGGTTAGTCGGGATCTTAATTTTTGTTGGTATTGTAGGGTCGTAGAGGTTCTAAGTTTGTTTGGGCCTCGGAAGTGTGTCAGTTTTGCTTGGAAGTAGAAGATTTTGTCTCTATTTCTTCTTCTGTCTTTATTCTCTTTTTTTCTAATGAGAATTTATTGTTAACC